TAGTTTTTCCCTTTCTTTTTTACTTTATTATTTTTTATTTTTTATTTAACAAATTCCAGTTTTTGTTTCTGTTTTTAAAAAATGTTCGGATATTTTTAAAAAATCAAAATTTCAAGAGAATTTTCATAAATTTAAAACTCGGTTCATATTTTTCAAAAATTTGTCCGGGATTTCAAAATTTGTTCATTTTGAATTCGAAAACATTTTGGAATTCTTCATGAAAATTTCCTAAATTCATGAGCACCTTTTGAATTTATTAAAAAAAATTCAATTCACAAACATTTATTGAATTCATGAACATTTTTTCAAATTCATAATTTTTTTTATGAATGCATGAACATTTTTCAGATACATGAACACCTTTTGAATTCTCTATGAAGATTTTATGAATTCACAAATATTGTTTTGAATTCATGTACCTTTTTCAAATTTACATATATTTTCTCAAATAGATGCAAAAAATTGTAATCACTAACTTTTTTGAATTGACAAACTTTTTCGTTTTTTTATGCAATGGGAAAAATAAAAATAAAAGAAAGAAAGAAACCCACAGATCCATGCTAGAGTACACTACAGAACGTAGCGCTAATGGGCCCATCCACCCTATGTGCGGCGACTTGAGCGATCGGTGCATGGATGTGAGCGATGCGCGATGTCTCGCTAGAAGTGGTATATATTGTTGCCCGTCGTGACTTCTACAAGCCATAACGCTCCCCCTCCGCCACGTTGCATGGTCAGCTGCGCCCGGTGGCGAATCTAACCCCCCCCCCATCGTAGCGGCAGCAACCGACGTGGCCTTCACCTTCTTCGATCGTGAAGTAGCCAAGGCAGGGTCATGCGGTGGCCTCTTCACACCGCCGCCTCTTTGGCTCGGGCGTGGTGGCCTTCTTATGAGGAGGTGCATCCACTCCGGCTATGATAGCGGCTTGTGGGGCCATAAAACCACCATGGTGAGCAGGGGCAGCCGTGGCGGTGGCAGCGGGAATGACATCATTGTTACTGCAGGAGCTGTCGATTTTGGTGATGATCAGGTGGGGTAGAGTAAGGTTGAGGATCGGTGCACTGTAGCTTGAAAGCGGGCAGGAGGGGGCGCCGTTGATCGACCAGCAGATTCACAAATCGGCGGCTCATGTTTCCTCTCTAGTCTCTCACAAAAGAAAGAGCATGGACTAGTTAATTGTTGATGGCCGCTTCTTCTCCTTCTAGTAAGATCAATAACTCGAGATCTACACCTGTAGAGGAAAAGTAGCATGCAACGAACAGATCATCCATAGACTAACCGGGATGCATTGGAGTCAGCGAGAGGGACAAGGAGAAAGGTGTGTGAGGGAGAGAGGTCAAGGGTGGCGCAATGATAAATTTTTTCCTTTATAAAATCGACGCAATGAGAGATGCCCGCCGGGACTCGCAAGTGATATGTTTCCCTCATGGCAACACTTCTCACAACGCTCGTCCAGTAAGGGTGCACCTGGCAGGTCGGCCCATTAGTGGGAGAGGAAGAGCTCAGGAAGCGGTTTTTTTATAGTTTTTTCTGGCTTCCGGGCCATTTTCCTTAATTTTTCTGGTTGTTTCCTTTTCATAAATTCCCATTGTAGTTTTTCCCTTTCTCTTTTTACTTTATTATATTTTATTTTTTATTTAACAAATTCCAGTTTTTGTTTCTGTTTTTAAAAAATGTTTGGAATTTTTAAAAAATCAAAATTTTAAGAGAATTTTCATAAATTTAAATTCGGTTCACATTTTTCAAAAATTTGTCCGGGATTTCAAAATTTGTTAATTTTGAATTCGAAAACATTTTGGAATTTTTCATGAAAATTTCCTAAATTCATGAGCACTTTTTGAATTTATTAACATTTTTTTCAATTCACAAACATTTATTGAATTCATGAATATTTTTTCAAATTCATATTTTTTTATGAATGCATGAACATTTTTCAGATACATGAACACCTTTTGAATTCTCTATGAACATTTTATGAATTCACGAATATTGTTTCGAATTCATGTACCTTTTTCAAATTCACATATATTTTCTCAAATAGATGCGAAAAATTGTAATCACTAACTTTTTTGAATTGACAAACTTTTTGGTTTTTTATGCAATGGGAAAAATAAAAATAAAAGAAAGAAAGAAACCCACAGATCCATCATGCTAGAGTACACTACAGAACGTAGCGCTAATGGGCCGACTTGAGCGATCGGTGCAGGGATGTGAGCGACGCGCGATGTCTCGCTAGAAGTGGTATATATTGTTGCCCGTCGTGACTTCTACAAGCCATAACGCTCCCCCTCCGCCACGTTGCATGGTCAGCTGCGACCGGTGGCGAATCTAGCCCCCCCCCCCCTAAAAAATTGGGGAAATAGTACTAGTACTCAGCTCAGCCTCGTATCAAAATTTTAACCTTATTTGAACTAAAAAACTAAGAGTTAGTGGCCTTTTCTTCACAACGTTAACCTTGAGCCTCCCTTCATTTTCTTCCAGGACTCGCTACTGGTTGCAACGAATCAGCGATGCTTGCCTTTCCCATTACCTTTTGGGCTCCATTAGCAATACAAAGATGGATTACAAACTCTAGAGTAATATTGTAGCACACTCAATGAGGCCTGAGTGAGCTCAGTTGTTAGGATGCCTCTAGAGTCGTTCATCAAACGGAAGCCCTTGAATATCTCCGGGCATGTCGGGGCGCTGGCCATCCAATGCTATTTCCCCCCAAGTACCCTACTTGTCCATCCCTTGTCCAAATGGAGAGAGATGAGAGAAGGAAGAAAGAAAAAAGTGGGTTTGTGATGGAGTTCGAGTTGTCGGTGCCCACGGGCTGTCCAAACTTCCCTAGAGCTCCCTCCAATTTGGGGGCAAACAGGGGGGTTCGGACGTCCGTCCATGCCGGCGGTCAATTGAGAGGTAGCGTGGAATATCTAAAAGTGTCCACTCCATCCGGTTCAAACACATAGGGGATATTTGGTGCTGTGTTGGAGACGCCCTTAGCCCTTGACTTTATGAGTAAATTTATCCTCGTAACTTAGCTAAGAGCGGTCTAGCTTATCGTACCTATGAACTTTGATATGCAATAAATGATAGTTTTCCTAAAAGCCCAAGTTAGAATGAATAATAATATTAGCCAGTTACTTGCCTAAAAAACACAAAACGCGGTACAAATGCATGGGTTCGTCATGGGTTTTCTAATGGCTAGTGGTTTGTTTGAAACCTTAAAACTGGCACGTATACTCATCCCTACGAACGGATGTATGCACACCTTATTTTATGAGCACCTATGAGAGATCGAGGTTACAAATTTTGGGATTGATAGACAGCACAGTCACCTCGTAGTCGATAGAAACATCGTCTCCCACTAAACAGACATTGTCAAAAAATCTAGAATAAATCAAGGAAAATAAAATGAACCAGTTACCTATTAAAACAAAACAAAACAAAATGAAGCCGGCTGTTTGCTGACAAAAGAATAATGGAAGTGTCTATTTTAATAACAGGGATTCATTCTAGTAAAATGAAGTAGGTAGCCCCTAAAAAAATATGAAGTAGGTAGCATATAGTGTATGAATGCACAGTCTACAGTTATTACTTGACCCTCCAAAAGATAGTCAATTGTTCATTTTAAAGGATCGATGTTGGTTTTGTATGGTAACGGAACTGTATGAACATTACATTGTGGGTCGGCAGAGTATATGCATGGATCTTAACTTTGCATTGCGAATGTTGTTTTTAAGAGTCTTTGCCTTGCGAGCTTAAGCCCACAAACTTGGTCAGCACTTTAAAGAAACATGAAGATGATGCAAAGCGTTTTGGCAGTGGCCATGGTTTAATAGAATCGCAAGGGTTTATGTCAAAAGCAGGTCTAGACGGCCAAGTAGGACAATTATGTCGCTAGCAATTGTAAGTGGAGCACCTTAAAGAATCTCGCCGATTCGGCACTTGTATACGCACACGCGACTAGTGGCGTTTATCTGCCTTTATTGCTTGGACTATATGCGGTCGTTTATCTCTTTCTCGTAGGTAAAGCAATGCAATCTATGTTAGGCCTCGTTCAGTTTGGAGGATTTCACAGGGAAAAAACATTGGGATGATGATCCCAGAGAAAAGTTTTCTGTAGACACATTCAGTTTATAGGAAACGAGTACAAGATTTTCTCAAGAATACTGTATTTATTTTCTGTGTTTTTGGAGAAAACTACACTCCACTCAAATCTCATTTTTTGTGTTTGAAACAGGACAAATCAATTCTTTAGGATGGCAACTTGGCAAGTGCCATCTAATTCCCATGTTTTGATTTTCTCCAAACACTAGTTTTTTTTATAAACACATCCTTTATTAATTAGCTACAATAGTAGCATCTGATACAATTAAGGGGATGATAGCCGACGGGGGTTCATCCATCCATACATCAGGAGGATTGAATCTAGCTAGACTAGCTAATTCATGTGCTACCTTATTATTCTCTCTAAAACAATGCTCATAAACAATATGACTGAATTCTAAAGACATGAAATAACAGTCATCAAAAATCGCACTGGCTACCGAAGCTGAGTAGCCTTCTCTGAGCGCTTCAACCACGTCCGAATTATCTGAATTCACTTCAACTTTGCTACATCCAGTTGAGATGGCGACCCAAGCTAAAAATAAGTGGAATTGGGTTTTCCGGATTGATTCAGATGATGTTAAAGAAAAGATTCAGACGGCCAACGAACGTGATTCCTGAAAAAACATGATTACTACTCGTACGTGTCGTCAGCAGTCTTGTAGTGGGTGTAATGATAATCCTCGGAAAACAAGAGCTGCCGTTCGGAACGGATGGGAACACAACCACCACCTGAACGCGGCCCGGCGGAAGCGACAAGCCGGCGCCGGCCGCGTCCGCTACAAAGACGACACGCACACGCCCACATCCCTCTCCCACTCTCACTCCCGCCGGCTCCCACCACCACCACCACCACCGCACACGCCCTCCATCGCTTCCCCATCCTCCGCCGCATTGCGCCGATCGCATGCTGCTCTCCCTCGCCCCGCCCCGCCTGCTACCCCGCCTCCCCTCCCCGGCGACCGCCACCGCAACCACTGCCCGGCCCCGCGCCCTCGCCCTCGCCCCGCGCCGCGCGCTCTCCTCGGCCGCCAGAACCGCCGCTCCTCCGCTCCGCGCGGTGGTCTCCGAACGGGCTGTTGACGGGATGGCGCCGGCGGCGGCGGGGCTGGAGGGGCGGCCGCTCCGGGTGGGGCTCGTGTGCGGCGGGCCCTCCGCCGAGCGGGGCATCTCGCTCAACTCCGCGCGCTCCGTGCTCGATCACATCCAGGTCAGCCCTTCGTTTCCAGCTTACTGTATTTATCACTCTAGTGTTTAAGGTTTGACTGCGTTCGGGTCAACGCCTGGTCACTCTCTTCTTCTTCTTCTTCTTAAAAAAGTTAAATTGTTGCTTGTCTGATGAGGAATGCTGGATGCAGGGTGAGGACTTGTTGGTGAGCTGCTACTACATCGACTGTGGCATGAACGCGTTCGCGATCTCGCCAGCCCAGGTGAGCTCACCATGTGTTCAGCTGCTCTTGTTAACTCCTTAGCTGAATATTCTGTCATTGGCTGCTTGCTGTGGTGTCGATTTGTTTGTCCAAACTGAATCCGGTGATGCGTTATCTGAACCCACCATGATTTCTTTATACGCAAAATGATCATACAGCAATTCCGTTGGTTGGATTCTGATTAACAATTACTCCTACCTACTCTGTTTGGGTTAATTTAGATACCCTCGTGAAAAAAAAGTATTTTGTTGACTGAAGCACTCTGTTTGTAAAATGACAGCCTCTCATGTTTTACTCCACAGCTGTACTCCAACACCCCTTCCGATTTCGATTTCAAGCTTGAAAGGTGAGCTTACTGCCAGGGTTTATTTCTTTTCCTTGCTAATTTTAGCCCATTTCAAATTGTTCAGTCTCAAATTTCACCGCCTACAGTCTAGCACAAGAATTTTCCACCCTATCTGAATTTGCGGAACATCTTGCTGCCAATGTTGACATTGTCTTCCCAGTGATACATGGGAAATTTGGTGAAGATGGTGGTATTCAGGTTTGTAGTTACCAACGAATATTAATAATGCTTTACATGCAAACAAAATAAAATGCTGGTGCCACGGTGCATGTTGCAGATTTTCGGTTTGTTTCAGCATTGCACTAGCATATAGTGCTGACTGTCTCTTAGTTATTTTTATGAGAATTTCACATTGCTGCTGATTCTTGTTGATGACAAGATGCGAAGGCCTACCAAAAGGCAGCATACCTGCAGTATAGAACTTAATATCAATTCATCAATATTTACAAAACTCAAGTACTCAGCAGAAAATTTAGTATTTGTGAGGTTTTATATGTTTGCCATGTTTCTATCAAAATATTCAGGAGCTTTTGGAGAAAGCAAATGTTCCATTTGTTGGGACGCCCTCTAATGAATGCCTCCGTGCTTTTGACAAGGTATGCTTTACTAATCATGACATGGAGCCACTTGGACCATAAGTTTTTTTTTTTGTATCACCCTAAATAGTTGCTCAAGGCTTCATGTCTTGTTGAGTTCGGTTCAGTTGAGTTCCCCTTATTGTGCTTTCATCATCCTTCAATGTCATTTTTGGTACTTGGACAGGGAAGGCTTATTCCAGTGTCATCCTCAACATTTTCTAGTTTAACAAACATACCCGAATTATCTCATGAAATGAGTTTGCAGTATTATTACGTTTGAGTTTGTCAGAATAAAAAAATTCCATTGCATGAAACAAGTGGATTTCACGAAATGCTATCTGATGAGCAGCTTTAATGTATCATTACTGTCAACTAAAGGTTGATGACAATGTGAAATTGTTTTGTATATTCACTTGATATGAACAATTCCAATTATAGGAGTGACCTGATTTCATGAATCTTGAATATGGCTGCAGCATAATGCATCGCTCGAGCTCGACGCTCAAGGTTTCTTAACAGTACCAAACTTTCTTGTAGAGGTAAAGCTTCTTTCTGACTGTGTTATGTACACAATTCAATATGTATTACCTATCTTCACTAACAGTTCAGCCGCTCTTTTTATAAAATATTTATGTAAGGCATACAAGGTTTAGTACACACAGTATGTAGTTTATAAAGAAAACAGGTAGTAACACCCTGGAATTTTTTAATCATTCAGAACTCTGTCTCATGTGCTTCTTTTTTCAGAAAATAAGGGCACTGAATCTTAACAAACACTTAGGATAAACTTATTTTATTTTGTCTTTTGCAAAAGTACAACGGTAATTATGGAAGACAAGAAGTATCTCTTTATTATAATCCAAAAATCAGAAGACACGATGAATTCTTGTGTCAAATCCATGATTTTGATTGGACTTCAGTAATTTTAAGTGAAGTTTGCAATGAATGATTTGTTAGGAGGTACCTTATGTGATTACTAATCATGATGCTCTTCTGTTGGCGCCTGACCATGTGTCCTGCATGTGTCACCTACGGGCTATGACAAAGTAGAAGGATAAATTGGCTAAGTCACAATTGGAGGAATGGTTTGGAAGCATCAATTTGAATAAAGAAAATGGCAAAGTGATTGTAAGTAAAGATGCCTTATTTGAAAATTTATTCCTTAAATTTTCTTTCTTAGCATGTAACTCCTCATGTGCATACACAGGTCAAACCTACGAGAGCTGGATCAAGCATCGGTGTAGTTGTCGCTTATGGTGCTAATGAGGCAGCTGAGAAAGCCGAGGGAATATTTTCAGAGGTGCCTGGTAGTTAGTACTTACTGCCATTGTTTCTTAAAGAGAAAAAAAGTGTGCCACCTAATCTGATATCTCAGATGTCTAACAGGGAATTGATGATAAGGTTATCATCGAAGTTTTTCTTGAAGGGGGCTGTGAGTTTACAGCCATTGTTCTTGATGTTGGGACAGCTAATAATAGTGAGCCTATCGTTTTGCTTCCAACGGAAGTAAGATTTGTATCATTTTTTTCTTACCTCTGCTTTCCTATGGTCCTTGCTCTTTAACATGGTCCAACCAAAGTCTGGTTTATATCAAAAGAAGTTGTTCCTTATGGAGAGAGTTTGATCTCTAGAAACTCTGTAAGATGTGCAGAAAGAGTGAAAGACTGAACTAGTTTCTTTCCCCCCCTTTTCTGCAGGTTGAGCTTCAGTCATCAATTTCTAGTGATATTCAGGAGGATACAATATTTAACTACCGTAGGAAGTACCTTCCAACTCAACAGGTATTTGAAATAAGGACCACATATTGCTATGCAAGTGATTGAGTCATATACATGCACAAGGGGCGGATGTTTTCTGTCGACCCTTGTAACTTAGCCTGCCAAAATGAGACATTACTTTTTTATAACTTATCTCACGTGAATAGTTCGTCTATGCATTGAATATTGACCCCTTCACAGGTTGCTTATCATACACCTCCACGGTTTCCGGCAGAGGTGATAGATTGCATAAGAAAAGGAGTATCCCTTTTATTTCGCCACTTTGGCCTGCGTGACTTCGCTAGGATAGATGGTTGGTTCTTACCAAGTCCTGCTACTTCTCTGCCCTCGTCTGAAAACGGTGTTAAATTTGGAAATACAGAGTATGGTGCTGTCCTTTTCACTGATATTAACTTGGTAAGCATCTTTAGAAAATTTCCTCATGCTTGGGTTTGCAGCACGGGTTGTGATTTCTAGTGTGACATATGCTGTTATCCTGTCTTAACAGATAAGTGGGATGGAGCAAACCAGTTTCTTATTTCAACAAGCTTCAAAGGTATCGCTGCTAATACTCTGTACTTCCCACATCCAAAATTTGGCAGTTTCAGTTTCTATAAATAAAAATCAATTCAACTAGGTTACATGATTTTTCCTCGTCTGTGTGCACATTTTCTGACTGCTGCACAACACCATTGAGGGTATTTATATTTTGTAAATAATACGCAGTATAAAACATTAGCCATCAATCATCATGGAATTACTGCAAGTAAGTGTTGGACATTTACATGTGTACATATATAATGCTTGATCTCGACGCTAACTTTGGAACAAAAAAAATCATTTTTCAGGTTGGATTCTCTCACTCTCGAATCCTCCGTACAATTGTTCAGCGTGCTTGCTCACGTTTTCCTTCCCTTGTTTCAAGCAATAATGCATGGACTGCTTTATCCAGAAAAATGCAATCTGCAAAACAAGCAGAGATAATCCAAAATGTCACATGCAAGCAGAAGGCATTTGTGATATTTGGTGGCGATACTTCAGAGCGGCAAGTATCTCTTATGAGTGGCACAAATGTCTGGCTTAATTTGCAAGGGTTCGATGATGTAAGATCTCTAGCTTCCTAGTATATAATCACCTAATTCTTGACCGCCATGGTGTTTTCATTCTGATGCTTTGATGCATGTTTACATGATGGCAATCAGCTCATGTTCAGTCTATATTTTGTTACCATTATTCCAGTTTCATGCTCTGATGGTGTATATTCATTTCTCTTCTGGCGCCTTTAGCTTGATGTGACACCGTGCTTGCTTGCACCTTCAAGTGGATGTTCTTCCCACAACCAAGATCTCAGCAAAAGTTCACGCGATGTTTGGACACTGCCGTAAGTGTTTCTTTCCACCACCTGGTTAATTGTGGGACATGAATCTTTACCTGAACAGACCCAATAATCCTATTTTGAGTCTTGCGTAGTGCAGTTTCTAGTTACTGTTTGGAAACAGAGAATTCCAACTTTATTTGCTATAGTTTATTACTAAAGTACTTATGTTACTTTCATCTTAACTGATTAACCTAATTTTGATTTGTTTCCTGGGCATCTATGGCCTGAAAGGGACATTCATTTCATATTGAAGAATGCTATTCAGTATTGGTGTGTTGAAAACTACTATTTTGACATTGTATATTGGCTTGAAGAATTAAGTTTGTCTTGCATTTCAGTCTTGGATTTTATAATTTTGGACAGAAGATGGGTTATCTTATTTACTTGTTACATTCTGTCAGTGCAACTGTGATGCTGCAGTCATACCCCATATACCCAGGGTGGACAGGGTGGGGCGGGCACGCACCCTGGGATTTTCCATTAGCTTATAAAGGGCAGCCCCAGTGCATGTAGCTCCCGCTTGCGCAGGGTCTGGGGAAGGGTCATGTGGGACGAACTATGGGATGAAATAGACACCCATATTCAAGTTGTGAGACTTGAAGATTGAAGTTTGTGGTGCACTAGATGAAGTATTTTGCTTCGAGTTCACTTCTCATATTTTCAGAAGCATAATGCTGGTCCTAGTTTTTGGGCGCTTGAGCCCAAACCAGAATTCTGATTTAACTGTGGGCATATCCAACATCGGCCTTTGATCAAGAGCAAGATATTTTCTTGCATCCTTCCTAATTTTTATAGTTCACTGAAGCAGTAGCCTCTTATTGTGTGACAGATATTCTTTAGTGTTACGACATACCACTGAAGAAGTTCATGCTGCATGTTTCGAAGCAATTGAACCAGAGCGGGTTGAAATAACATCTCGCTTACGTGATCAAGTAATGAAAGAACTTCAACAAGCATTAAGCAAGCAAGATTGGTTTGCGGGCTTTGACATCACTGATGAACAACCTATCAAATACTCCCTGCAACAGTGGATTGATTATGTTAAAGAAGCTAAAGCTGTAGTGTTCATAGCAGGTATTTTTCCAATACATATTTTGTAGCTAATCTTCTAGCTTTCTAGGCATAATAATGTCCGTCTTTTCGTATATATATGTACTTATGAACTTATGATGGATGCGATTAACTGTTAATGAAATTTGATATGAAAATAGGAATAATATTTCTGGATTTTTTTGAAAGAAAATTCCTGGAACTAATGAACTCTATTAATACTTACTTACTTCTATCACAATAAAACCAAACATAAGTGGTAAGGCACATAGTGAAAATACAGATGTAGAGGCCAATGCTTCAACACCTATGCTTTCTTTTTTGTTGGTTCAATACCGAATATATTACATGTAGTTCATGGTGGTATTGGGGAGGATGGCACCATTCAATCGCTATTGGAATCTGCAGGAGTTCCTTACACAGGTGTGATCACAGCTTGTAGGATACATATACGTCTCCAACTCTAAGAATATAAAATTATGCTAATATCAAAGTTCTCTTTGTGCAGGGCCAGGACCAATAGCTTCTAGAACATGCATGGACAAAGTTGCAACTTCACTTGCTGTTGATCATGTATGAGCCTTTCAGGTCTTCTTTATAGGAATTCCATGCTGATTTTTTTTGGCAATGGCAATGTTTGATATAATCCATGCGCAATTCATTAACAGCGCAATGTTTGCTTGTTGACTAGATTTGTTAGAGCTGTACTACTCATGCTATGATTGTGGCCTTGTGAGATGGTTCACCAGTTTCCTTGTACTTGTGCAGTTGGCTAGTTATGGCATTCACACTATACCAAAGGATGTAAGAGCAACAGAAGAGCTACTAAAGTCATCTCTTGTTGATATCTGGAATGACCTGAAAGCAAAATTACAAACAGAAACGGTATGTGTGAAACCTGCTTGTGATGGATGCTCAACTGGTGTGGCAAGATTGCGGTGAGCATTTCATTAAGCTCCTGTTCACTTGATGTTTTCCAACTATTTAACATGAAACTTTGGCTGTCTTACGCATAGCTCATTAAGAAACTATCTGTTATCAGATGTCCAGAGGACCTAGAAGTCTATGCAAATGCGCTGAGGGGAAAGCTTCCGCGTCTGCCTGCTAACTGTCTATCCAGGGTACCAGAAATTCAATTTGGTAACTGATTAAGCCAGAGGAACTTGATGTTAAGCTGCATTTTTACGTTGATCTATATTTGCTAGGCACATGGAGTTATTGAGATGCCAGTCCCTCCTCCGGAGTCACTGATATTCGAACCATTTATCGAAACCGACGAAATTATTATCTCAAATAAATCAAGGAATGATAGTACCCGCCATCTGGTATGGAAGGGCGAAAATGAGTGGCTTGAAGTGACTGTTGGTGTGGTCGGCAAACGTGGGGAGATGCATTCATTGAATCCAAGCATCACAGTCAAAGAAAGTGGTGATATTTTGTCTCTTGAAGAGAAATTTCAAGGTGATTAGTCTGGAACAGATCTTTGAAGGTTTACATTGGTCTGTTCAGAGTCGTATTGTCTTAAGGCAGATTGCTTATGTGCTTTGCTATATGCTGGTACTTGCAGGTGGAACTGGAATCAACTTGACACCACCTCCGGCAACAATTATGAGGTCTGATATTTGTTCCTGTTATCAGTTCCCTTTTTTTTGTGTGTGCAGTGGATTTCTTTACCAACTGACTGGAATCTCTCCCATACTTGCTCTGTTCCCACATGATTTGATGCGATTGCTTGCTGCTGAAATAGTTCACTTTTTCGGGGAAATACTCCCGCCGTTCGGAATTACTTGTCGCAGAAATGGATGTATCTAGACGTATTTTAGTTCTAGATACATCCATTTTCGCGACAAGTAATTCCGAACGGAGGGAGTAATAGTTACTGAAGATATATTTTTATTCGAGATGAACATAGTTCCAGATTCATCTCTGCATCATGACTCAGTATTTTATCATCTGTAGTGAGGATGCGCTAGAGAAGTGCAAAAAGTGTATCGAGATGATGGCGAACACATTGGGTTTGGAGGGTTTTTCACGCATCGACGCATTTGTTAATGTGCGTAGCGGAGAGGTACCACTTCTCTCTTCCATGTTTGCGCAGTTATAAATCGAAGAAGAAATTAGCTTAGCTGTGGTAACTAATCACTGTTCCTGCATTTTCATCCTGAAGGTGCTGTTGATAGAGGTGAACACCGTACCTGGGATGACTCCGTCCACAGTTCTGATTCACCAGGTAAGCTCTTCTGCCCACTGCTCCAGAAACTACAGTACTATCTATTTACACTAGCTGCTCCTCAATCCTCACGGCCATGCAAAACCTTTCACCTTGTAACATCTGTGTGCTGGTATCGTCTCAAACGCAGGCACTCACGGAGGAACCGCCCATCTACCCCCACAAGTTCTTCAGAACGCTCCTCGACCTGGCGTTTGCAAGGGCAGACTAGCTAGATATACTACACAGTAGTGCCCCCAAGGTCTCTTGCCAGATGAACTCGTCCATTTCAGTGCAAATAAGGTCGTTTTTATCACCATTTATCGATCTGTATCATGCAACTGCCAATGTATGCAAGTGACTGTTATGTCGGTGTGAAAAACCGTGTGAAAAGTTTGTGTCATCGCGCGAAAAGTTGTGTGAGAATTTGGTGTCCGGTCGATAGGCGCTCGCCATCTCAAGGCGGGCAGGTGACGTAATTGGGTCGGTGTCGATCCTTTGCGTGCCATGAAGTTAATTGACGTCTCGGGTTGGCGAATGGTGGCCGCACTAGCTCACTCGAAGTCCACCAGGGGCATAGAATAGATAGTTGCTGGGCTGAGGACTCCACATCCGTGGAGCCATCCAGCAAGGCGAGTGTGCCAAATAAGTGCACGGTCGACAACGAAAAGGCAGCGATGGATCGAAAGCGTGCGCGTCCGCTTTCGGCTCATACTAACTTTCGGAAATGATTTCTGATGAATTGCTTCCACCACATTGAGAGCGCCTTTTCGAAAGAAAAACAATAGCTTTTGGAAGAAAATATCCAGAGTGCGGTCTGAGTTTAGTAAGACCCGGATTATTCTTCTCTATCGGTGTGGTTAACTAGGAGTTTACCTAACTGCTGAGAGCGATGTGTGTAGGTTTTTTACTGTGAGATTGCTTGCCACATTTCCACATGTCTCGTGGACACGATGTTGAATTAGTAAATTACCTTTGTGCGTCAGTACGCAATGCCACAAGTGAGAGGGGGGAAAGGCGAAATGGTCAGGGCGCATCTCATCCAGGGTAAGAAATGGAAGGCACGCTTTCAGGTCTTCAAAAGTCAGACAAATTTCTAGACGAAGTGCAAAACCTTCCAGGTTTACGTGTCCTATAGCTATAATAAAACAGCAGAGACCCACTACCGCACGATATCATATTTTTATGTCATTTCATATGGTTGATCGTAAGCACTCGCGGTTGCTTTTGCCTCCACCATGGATCCAGATTGACCACAGAATGCCAGATGAGCCAAGGCAAAAGGAAAGGTAATGGAGTCCCATTGTCGTTGAGTCATCACGTCGTGATACTAGGAGAAGAAAGCTGATTCCCTGACACGATCTTGGATTCCACCCATCATATATACGTATCACTTGTCATTTCAGCAAATTCAGTGGAATTCGGTGAGAGAGTTGTAGCACTGATGATATGATATGGTGACGGAACTATGGCCTGATTCAGGTTATACATGATAGATGTATCCAAGGCGCAATGCCAAGCGACCAAAGATGTTCCCAAGACAGTTCATGTTTCCAAGTAGGATAATAGAGATGTTTACGATTTGTGCCAATCGATACATCGCCTAAATTTACTTCAGCTTTTCGGATGGAAATCGACAGGTTGATCGAGAATCGCAAACACAAATTATGTCTGATGATTGAGAGGGGCGCGTTTTAGGTAACTAGCGTTGGCGATAACTGGGACGGATCGGTAGGCAGGTGCATCGATCATAGTACTATATACAGTATATGCTAGCTGATAAAGACGGATGGATCGATCCGTGGACGTATCAAACTAACACCGATGGAGATGGGCACGCACGCTGCTTTCTTCTCCGCATCATCATCATCATCATCATCATCATCATCATCATATCATATCATAATTAGAGAATTAGTCGTCGAAACGTAATGATTAACTAGTGTGTCAGCCAGCTCAATGATCATATATATCATGCCAATGTCAATCACGCAGAAAAACAAAAGCATGCCAGTTGCAGATGGATTGACAAAAGGTGTGTGTTATCAGCAACCAATCAATCCCTCAATCGCAAGCAGATCACTTGCTTGACCAGTGATAAGACCATAAGACTTGAGAGCGGTGTGCATTAGTGAGAGGATCACACTAACTACATGTTGATAGCGACGCATACGTGTTCGTAAACAATAGCTTTACATGCGCTTGTGCTTTCCACTCAATCTATGACATATAGAAACATGAGCAGTACTAAAATGATCTCTGATGAATTGCTTCCACCATATCCCGAGCGCCTTTTCGAAAGAAAAACAATAGCTTTTCGAAGAAAATATCCAGAGTGCGGTCTGAGTTTAGTAAGACCCAGATTATTCTTCTCTATCGGTGTGGTTAACTAGGAGTTTACCTAACTGCTGAGAGCGATGTGTGTATGCTTTTTATTTTGAGATTGCTTGCCACATTTCAACACGCATCGTCGACCCGATGATGAATTAGTAAATTGCCTTTGTGTGTCATCACGCAATGCCACAACTGAAGGGCAAAAGGAAGCAAAATGGCCAGGGCGCATGTCATCCAGGGTAAGAAATGGAAGGCGCGCTTGCAGGTTTTCAAAAGTCAGAGAAATTTCTAGATGAAGTGCAAAATCTTCCAGGTTTCCGTGTCCTATAGCTTTAAAACAGCATGAACCACTACCGCACGATGTTACTATATTTTTATGTCATTTCATATGGTTGATTGAAAGCACCCATGGAGTCATGGTTGCTTTTGCCTCCACCATGGATCCAAATTGACCACAGAATGTCCGATAAGCCAAATGTAAAGCAAGTTAGTGGAAATCAATTATCATCACGTCGAGATACTAGGAGAAGAAAGCTGATACCCAGACATGATCTTGGATTCCACCGATCATATATATCACTTGTCATTTCAGCAAATTCAGTGGAATTTGGTGAGAGAATTGTGTGGCCCAAGCAAGGTAGCTACTAGTAGCATTGATGATATGGTATGGTGATGGAACTGTGGCCTGGTTATGTTTGTATACATGGTAGATGTATCCAAGTCGCAATGCCAAGCGACTAAATATGTCCCCAAGACTGTTCATGTTTCCAAGCAGGATAGTAGAGATGTTTACGACTTGTACCAATACATACATCGCGTAAATTTATTTCAACTTTTCAGATGGAAATCGACCGGTTGATCGAGAACCGCAAACACAAATATATGTGATGATGGGGGAGGGGGGGTTGGGTGACTAGCGTTGACGATAACCCGGATCGGTAGGCGGAGTAGATCCATCATATATACATATATGGTGATAAAGACGGATTGATGAATCCGTAGACGTATCAAACACCGATCGAGTTGGGCGCGCTGCTTTCTCCACATCATGTCATGCATCATAACTAGAAAATTAGTCAGGGAAACGTAATGATTAACTAGCTCGGCGGCTAGCTAGATACTGCATGCATGATCATATATGTCCATCATGTAATGTCAATCACGCATAAAACAAAAGGTGCGTTATCAGCAACCAATCAATCCATCGATCGCAAGCAGATGACTTTCTTAGCCGGGATAAGATTGTAATAAGAGATACTAAGACTTATAAGAGCCGTGTGCAATGTATTGGTAGAGGAACGTGCATGCACACACCACATGTGGACAGCGACACGTACGTAAACAAAAGAATCTCCGGCCGGTACTGCATCTTCCGTCGGTCTGGGTTAGTTATTACTACTACTTGTTTAGAGCATCTCTAACAGCCGCGCTAAGCGTTGCGCGCAAAAATCTGTTTGCCGCACGCGCTTCGGCTGGTTTAGCGCGCCCGCCTGCGCTGGCTCCAGCAGCCGCGCTATAATGCAGCGCGCGCGCGCCGCTCCAGCAGAGCGCAAAAATACAGCGCGCGCCGCACAACCCACATATACATGTATTATGAGCAAAAGTGATCAAACAAACAAAATAAATCAATAATAAATAGTTCAATTTCGTTATCATTACAACTCAAACAAATAATTTATCGTTCAGTACAACAAATGCAATAAACACAACAAATAGTTCATGAACAATACAATGTCGAATGCAGATATCATCATGCTCTTTGTCGTCCATGCCATGCCCACCACTCTTCAATCAAATCATTCTGAAGTTCATTGTGCGTTGCGGGACGCCGAATGGCATGATAGGAGGCAATAAAACGGGCTACCCTTTCAGCCCTCCGTCGCACTCGCACGGGATATCCCAAGAGCTCATACTGTGAGTAGTCTAAATCTTGGCAACGCTCATTCTTGATGATCATGTTGTGCATGATCACACAAGCGTGCATGATGTACCAAAGCATTTTTTGATCCCAAAATCTAGCCGGTCCTCTCACAATAGCAAATTGGGCTTGCAAAATCCCAAATGCTCTCTCCACATTTTTTCTAGCCGCCGCATGAGCATTGTGGAAGTCAAGATTTTTCTTACCTTCCGGCTTTTTCAACGGCTTCACGAAGGTTTGCCATTTTGGATAGATGACATCCGCTAGATAATAGCCATAGTTGTACGTACGGCCATTTGCTACAAACTGCACCGGTGGCAACTCACCGTTTGCAATCTTATTCATCAGTGGTGACCAGTTGACAACATTAATGTCATTCAAAAATCCAGGCATTCCAAAGAATGCATGCCAAATCCAAGTCTCCTGATCGGCCACCGCTTCAAGTCTCCTGATCGGCCACCGCTTCAAGGATTATAGTGGAACCTTTTTTTGGCCGTGGAATTGCCCATGACATGCCTTTGGACAATTCTTACAACTCCGATGCATGCAATCTATTGAGCCAAGCATGCCAGGAAAACCGCAAGCTTTGTTCATCGCCAATAGCCTTGCGACGTTTTCAGCATTGGGAGATCTCAAATACTCCTCGCCAAACACTTGCACAATTCCCACTGCAAAGTGCTTGACACACATGATGGCTTGGCTCTCACCCATAGCCAAGTGATCATCAACAAGATCAGCCGGTATACCGTATGCCAACATACGCAAAGCGGCTGTCACCTTCTGAAAGGTGCTATGCCCGAGCTCTCCGGCGGCATTCCTCCTTTGCTGAAAAAAACGGTCATGGCTCACTAGTTTCTCTGCAATGCGCCTGAACAACTCGGTGCTCATCCTAAACCGGCGACGAAAATACGACTCGGGGTATATGGGATTCTCCGCAAAATAATGCCTCATCAATCTGTTGTGGGCATCGATCCTATCCC